CTGTGTGACTGACTGTGTCCTCTCTGTACTAAAGACGTGGCGCTGCTTCACTACCACCTTGTCTCCTCCGCTACGTATTACTCGACCGTGTCACTGAGAATCTGCAGTCGTGGCGCCGCGGGGATGATTTTTGGTGTTGCGGCTCACCACGAAAAAATTAATGTAGTGGAAACACTGTCCCTGTGAGATAGCCCGACGGGCAGGGCTGGATTATATTTGATAGCCCGACTGGAAGATAAGATAGCCCCGGGCCGTCGGGCAGGCGATTTTGCGAGCCCTGTATAAGTCAGTAATCCCTAATTACCTGTCTGAAACAGTTCACTGTTTGCTAAAATTGTAGGAATTTAAATGTTTGTTTTATAATTCATTTGTGATTGCATGAGCAGTTTACTAGTGTTATTGACAGCAGGTGTAGTCAGTCAGAGCCCTGCACAACCTATGCACCACTTGTCACTAACTACAAGTGGGGGGGTCAGTGGAAGTAATATGAGCAGTGTGTGATAACATAGGCTGTTAGATGCTTCTTCATAAATGTTTCATTTTGTGAAAAGTAACTATGTCAAATAGATGTACAGTAGAAAGTCACTTTCGGCTTTTCCCGTTTAGGGGTCGCCACAGCGAATTGTCACACTGATGACTCGCATGTTAACATTTGACATGTGTTTTACGTCGGCTGCTCTTCCTAACCCTGACTCGAACCCAGGCCGCAGCAGCAAGAGCGCTGCGCCTTAACCACTAGCCTACCAGGGATGGCTGTCAAATAGATGTACAGTAGTGGTTTAAAAAGGACTATATTTCCCTTGAATAGAATGGACAAGTAAAGTAGCAGAAAATGGAAATATTCTAGTGCTGTTCAGGTAACTCAAAATAGTACTGAAGTACAGCACTTGAGTAAATGTACTTGGTTCTTTTCCACCACTGGACAAGTTTAATTACAGCACATGTTGTAACACTGTGATCTTTCCATAGCTGTTTTGGTACCTGACATTGCAGTATTGCCCCATGGCGGTCTGGATTTTCTGCTAACAGAGTTCTGTTAAAACAGGCTTCCCGAGCGCAGATTCTAGACAAAGCCACTGAGTACATCCAGTTCATGAGGCGAAAAAATCATAGCCACCAGCAAGATATTGATGACTTAAAGAAGCAGAATGCACTTCTGGAGCAACAGGGTAAGTGGAGGGGTGTTATTGTTGTTGGTGACTTTTTACAGCACAATGTCTGGTGTTCCTTAGCTGTGTTTCGACTACTGGAACCTAACGAGCGGTATACCCTGTACTTCCCTTACCCAGAATAACAGCGGGTTGTTGAATATGGTCCTGCCTTGCTTTTGCACAATTTTTTTGGTATGTCAGTCTCTGTTTAGAGGAGGGAGGGGCCCAACACAGTTGGGGTTGTACAGCATTTTTCCCCTTATCATTAAACAAAGCAGACATTTGAGTGCTCCAGTTGTCTAGCCTAAAGTTTGACCTAAGTGTCCGAACCCAAACTGGACCTGAACATAATTCCCATCCAAACCCTTAGGTACCATCGGGCATTGGTGGGCTCGGTTTGGGTATCCACACTCTGCTTGGGTCTCAGAAGCTGGAAGATACCATCTTAGATGAAAGTGGAGTGAGGAAAGATAAAGTAAATTGGTATCTTCCAGCTTCTGACTGGCTGAACACACCTGAGCCAGGTAATCAGCAGCAGGTCAGGCAGGGATAGTTGAAAAACAAGCAGGACAGCGGCCCTTGAGGACTGGAATTGGCCACCCCTGGGCTAGCCTAATGTTTGACCTATGTGTCCAAACCTGACCCTTAACCAAACATAATTTCTAAATTTCTGTCCAAACCTGGCCCAAACCCTCGGGTACTGATGGGTCCCTTCGGGCTCACTTTTGGTATCCAAACTCATTTTAGTACTGCATCTAAGGGGTGCTGAAATATAGCTCCCGCAACACACCCCCGCAGAGGGCAGTGAAAACAACCACAGAACTCATGACAAGTGTTATTCGGCTCGACCTGTGTCGGTAGGTTCCTATAATGGTAAAACTCCATTTGTCTACTACTTGCAGTTCGTGCCCTGGAGAAGGCCAAGGGGAACACTCAGCTCCAGACAAACTGCTCTTCTGACAGCAGCTTGTACACAAATCGTAAAGGGAGTGCAGTGTCCGCCTTTGATGGTGGGTCCGATTCCAGCTCCGAATCAGAGCCAGATGAGCCGCCAAACAGAAAGAAGCTGCGCGTGGAGCCCAGCTAGACTACGAGAGCTCCTGGCTCTCCAAACAGACTCTCTTTATCCACCAGCCCCACCTCTTCTTACCTTGTCTCCACTTAGTCCTGCATACTCATCCTAGCCCAGGAGATGAGGTGGAGACGGTGTGAGAGAGGTGCTATTATGTATAAAATGCTTCTGCCACTTGTTTTCATCCTAGCAAGCATCCTGTCACTCCTCTTGTGGCCCAGCTACACCTTTTTTAAGACCCCTAGTATGAGGCAGCTCTGCGGTTTTGAAGGACTTGATTTTTAGACCTCATAATAATGGTTCATAATTAAATGTGAACTGACAGTAAGGTTACAAAAAAAAAATTTCCTTGCATTTGTTTTGAATAGCCTTGGCAATCTGTTGGAGGAGTTGTGAGACCTTCCGACCTCTGACAAAATGACAGTTACAGTATACTTTACCTTTTTAATCTTCATACTTTTCCAGAAATGAATGTGAAGTTGCTTTTGACAAAAATATGTTATGCAAGGTGCAACCCTCCTTATTGAGTGTAAGTGGCTAATATTTTTTGGTTTTCAAAATGTTTGTGTAATCAAATGAATCCTTGTCTTTGTAACGATGCATCGAAATTGATTTCATACCCTTATAACGTGGTGTGAAAAAAGTGTTTGCCCCCTTACTGATTTATCTTTTTGCATGTTTGTCACACTTTAATGTTTCAGATTAAACAGATTTAAATATTAGTCCAAGATAACAAGTAAACACATCATGCAGTTTTTAAATGAAGGTTTTTATTATTAAGGGAAAACAAAATCCAAAACTATATAGCCCTGTGTGAACAAGTGGTTGCCCCCTAAACCTAATAACTGGTTGGGCCACCCTTAGCAACAACAACTGCAATCAAGCGTTTTCGATAACTTGCCATGAGTCTTTTACAGCGCTGTGGAGGAATTTTGGCCCGCTCATCTTTGCAGAATTGTTGTAAGTCAGCCACATTGGAGGGTTTTCGGGCATGAACCGCCTTTTTAAGGTCATGCCACAGCATCTCAATTGGATTCAGGTCAGGACTTTGACTAGGCCACTCCAAAGTCTTCATTTTGTTTTTCTTCAGCCATTCAGAAGTGGACTTACTGGTGTGCTTTGGATCATTGTCCTGCTGCAGAACCCAAGTTCGCTTCAGCTTGAGATCACAAACGGATGGCCGGACATTCTCCTTCAGGATATTTTGGTACACAGCAGAATTCAGGGTTCCATTTATCACAGCAAGTCTTCCAGGCCCTGAAGCAGCAAAACAGCCCCAGACCATCACACTACCACCACCATATTTTACTGTTGGTATGATGTTCTTTTTCTGAAATGCGCTGTTACTTTTACGCCACACATAATGGGACACACACCTTCCAAAAAGTTCAACGTTTGTCTCGTCTGTCCACAGAGTATTATCCCAAAAGTCTTGGGGATCATCAAGATGTTTTCTGGCAAAACTGAGACGAGCCTTTATGTTCTTTTGGCTCAGCAGTGGTTTTCGTCTTGAAACTCTGCCATGCAAACCATTTTTGCCCAGTCTCTTTCTTATGGTGGAGTCATGAACACTCACCTTAACTGAGGCAAGTGAGGCCTGCAGTTCTTTGGATGTTGTTGTGGGGTCTTTTGTGACCTCTTGGATGAGTTGTCGCTGCGCTCTTGGGGTAATTTTGGTCGGCCGGCCACTCCTGGGAAGGTTCTCCACTGTTCCATGTTTTCGCCATTTGTGGATAATGGCTCTCACTGTGGTTCGCTGCAGTCCCAAAGCTTTAGAAATGGCTTTATAACCTTTTCCGGACTGATAGAGCTCCATTATTCTCTTTCTCATTTGTTTTTGAATTTCTTTGGATCTCGGCATGATGTCTAGCTTTTGAGGATCTTTTGGTCTACTTCACATCGTCAGGCAGGTCCTATTTAAGTGATTTCTTGATTGCGAACAGGTGTGGCAGTAATCAGGCCTGGATGTGGCTAGAGAAATTGAACTCAGGTGCGATAAACCAGAGTTAAGTTATGTTTTGACGGGGGCGAACACTTGTTCACACAGGGCTATGTAGATTTGGTTTTTGTTTACCCTTAATAATAAAAACCTTCATTTAAAAACTGCATGATGTGTTTACTTGTGTTATCTTTGACTAACATGCAAAAAGATAAGAAATCAGTAAGGGGGCAAACACTTTTTCGCACCACTGTATATTCTTATGTCTGATCTCTCTAATGTTTGGCTTGAGATTTTCAAGAGAAGAACAAGTTTTAGTGGATTCCTCAAAGGCTCAGCTATTTATTTTCCCCTATTTTTATCATTATTAAATACTGCGTGGGTATTTAAAAGTAAAACAATGAATAATGAATGTTACACGTTGCAGTTAAAGGGCAGTAGACTTTATTTTTGTTTATGGAAGTCCATTTCAGTGTGTAGTGTATAACACTGTATACTCCTAAATGGTGTCAGTTATGCAAAAAAAAAGCCTTCCCTTGAAATATTGCCTGTTCTGGGAACATTTCATTCTCCCCCCCCCCCCTTTTTGCAGACATTAATTACTGTGTATGTAATCAATATTTGTGTGTTCTGTTCTTGGAAATTACAGGTATGTTGTACATACTGCCAATGGTTGTCTTGCAAGTTAAGACATACCTTTATTATTAAACTATAAATAAAACTATTTTATCCTTTTGGGATGTATTTGTGGCTCAGCATGTTTATTACTCAGGACTTATGAGCACTTGGATGGAAACAGCTTATCTCCAACACCAGTTAAGGAAGTAACCTGACATGTCTAATAAAATTTAGGAATCAGTATAATTGAGGCAGTAAAGAGGGACAGTTTACTCAAATATTGGAAGATAACACTTTAAAGGATTTATATCACTATTTTAAATGTCTGTAGTATAAAAAGGGATTCAGATTTCAGTCTTTTTTACTCAGCTTCAGAAAATAAATAGGAGTAGATAGGAGATACAGTAGGTGCCTTTGGGTAGGCTACCATTACGCAGGGTTTTTCTAAATCGTGCCAGAAAGGGGCAAGGACACAATCATTTAATATTTTCTAAATTTTTTCTTCAAGTTTGAATGAGCATAGAGAAGAATTTAAGCATAAAGGTGTGTGCAGCATCACTCTTACCATTAGCGCAAGAGAGTAAATGTAATGTAAATGTTCTTCAGATGGATTTTGTATGTGTATGTGCTAGAGAGTATAACAGTACCTCTTCTGTCATCCTAGGTATGAAGGGATTAATGTATGACCTTGCCCCCACAACTAACAGGACTTAAGGGATGCTTGATGAATGCTGACCAGGAGGACGTAATTCAACCTGCACATTATCTTTGGGTCCTGCATGATGTAAAGCTTGCACCACAGCCTCCTCATACCCCCCAAACCACGCAGCAAATTCAGGTGGGTTCTGACACAGGTGGATGCACAGCATCTGGCATAAACAAATACAATAATACATAAAAATACCTTCAGTGGCCAGTTTATTAGGTATAAATAGCTAAAACTAATTCAGTCAAATACAACAGTCATGCAGATGAATTGTCCACCCCATTTGTAGCAGTGCAGATAAGATAAATGAATAAACATTCTCAATAAAACACAAGACAGTTCAACAGCACCACAAATTACCTGGACAAAATAATGAAAACACCTGTCAGTAGGCTATAACAGGAAGTAGCTAATGTCGAATCACCACCTCTAAAGCTATTTTAAACTCTGAACCTTCATCATAATAGGTGCATTATTGTCTTCTGTGTCACATTTCTCACACAGTGTCACCTGCTGTTACATAGATTATACTGTACCGTATGGTAGGGCCTAATACAAGTTAAACAGGTGTGTGTGTGTGTGTGTGTGAGTACATACGTGTGATAGCAGAAGCACTTAACGGGATTTTAGTTAATCCAAATTAATTTTCCAAGTGATTTTCATAAAGATACAGAAATGGACAGTTCATTTCTAGAAACAGAGATGCCTTTACTTCTCAGTCAGTTGCTGTTGTAACTTAACCTGTAAACTTGTTTTTTATGTTCACATTTTATTTTAGTTTAGTTTAGTTTAGTTTTTGGCAGGACAAAATGTTCTCAGGTAGGTGGGGTTTTACTGGGGTTAGTTTTGTTCCATGTCATCATTGTTTCTGATTACGTGGCTACATCGGTACCTTTATTGTTTGTTTAAATAGTGAATTTAGACAGCGCAGTGTGGTATCCTACCTGACACTCCTACTGCAGGAGGCGGCCTCTTCATGGATGCAGGTCGCATGCCACCTTCGAGAGCCGTAGGAAATAGCACTTGTTCTAGCTGTCTGGATGCATGCATAATGCTTGGACCCGTAACACGTGAGTGAAATTATCAATTTGAGGCATTGTGGTGATTATAGAGCATCTTGGCCATGATAAAACAAAAGCAAAGCTGATGCATTTATGACATTGGCTAATTGTTAATGATTCGACATCCTTTTTAATTGTCTGTAGCTTAGTACTTAAATCGGCTACTTAATTTTAACACTCTAAAGTTCTAGAAAACACCATATAACCTATACATTTTACACTCGTAAACTAGCCTACGTTTTCTTAAGAACATCAGAAAGCTGAGCTGAGAAAGACGAGTTTCCGAGGGGTAATGAATGCAGCACACCGGAGCGTGAGAATAAGTACATCAGCCAACGGCTCCGAGAAGAAACATGCTTTCTCTTGTGTTCTAGCTTTTGGTCATGGCTAAGCAATACGATATTTTGTGCAGGTTGCTCCTACTCGGAGACTCAGGGGTTGGAAAGACTAGTATGTTGCGCAGGTTCACGGACAGTGAATTTGATCCTTCACATATTGCCACCATCGGTAAGCCAGCAGGTTTTCAATGAAAATCACACGTCCGAGTTTTCGTCTTGTGCCGAACCACAGACATCAGTGAAAACTTTTTAAGGGGTGAATGACGAAGTTGGTACTTTTCCAAAATTAATCTACAGGGCAGGTTATGCAAATGTTTGATTTTATTCAGAGTGTATAAACAGGGCCTACTTAGCTGGTAGGATTAGTACAAACTGCTGAAAGTTGGCTGAAAAACATGTCAGCATTAAGAAAGCTGTATTGCTCACAGCTACTCTACATTTCCTGGTAGAAATGTGCCCTTAACAAAGATATCAAAGGTAGTTATGAGAAAGCAGGCCTGTCAGCTGTAACTGCAGTAACAGTGAAAAGGGATTTCCCCTGCTCTAAGTGTTTAGACTGTAACTTGTGGATAGATGAGCACATTAATGGCTCCTTTCCTTAAAAGCTGATTTATTACTTGGGAGAAAAAAAAAAAAAAAAAAAAGAGTAAATTATTTACACCTATACAGAGTAAGCAGTCAACACATCCTCAGGCTGGCTGTGTAGATTGTCGCAACTAGCAGTGTGATGAACCTAATTCACAAAATGCTTGTCAGCTGCAGTAGAGACGCATCGAGACAAAAACCTTCACACCTAACAGGCAGTTTTAGAGTCACCAGTCAACCTAACCTACGTGTCTCTGGACCTTGGAGGAAGCTGAAGTACCCAGAGAAAACCCACGCAGGCACGGGGAGAACATGCAAACTCCGCATAGAGAGGCCCCAGTTGGCCCTGAGGTTCAAACCTGGAACCTTCTTGCTGGGAAGCGACAATGCTCACCACTGTGCTGCCCTTATTGAGAATATGTAACTCATCCAGTACAGAATAGTAGTATACTATAGTTAGGATAAATAAGCTTTTAAATACTAGAATACTACAGCATGCTATATACATCTAATACATACAGTCTGTAGATTGAGGAGTAGAAGTGCATGTTGTTCTTGTAGTAGGCTAGTAGATGTGCTCTATGTTGCCTTAGCTTGTAAACATAAAGAAGTGATTTTAAGTGTTATTTCTGCTGTTGGCAGTTGCTGTCACATTTCCTAGCTCTCCTGTCTCTTCTGTTGCCTAGCAGAAAACGCACAACTATACTTGACATCAGTGGTGCATTGATTTAAAAGTGGTCACTATGTGGTTTCTAAGGTACTATTAAGGTTGATGGTGTCTTTGAGTAAAACTTATCGAGTGGTCACAAAGACACACTACAAAGCAGGATTTTTCACCAAGTTGACACTGAAGTGAAACTGCAGTAGTTTGACCTTTTTGAAGGTGTTTACACTTGCATCTCAATTTGTGCCTGTTTTGTTGTGGAATTAAAATTGTTTTTTTTTTTCTGTTTTCTGCAGGAGTTGATTTTAAAATGAAAACATTAGAAATAGATGGAATCAAGGTGCGAGTGCAGATATGGTAAGTCAGATCACTGTTATTGCATACACAGTATGCAGGCTCACAGACTGTGTGATGTTCTTCTGCTGAGTGTGTTTTGTATGCTGCTCAGGGACACGGCTGGTCAGGAGCGTTATCAGACCATTACCAAGCAGTACTACAGGCGGGCACAGGTGATCCCCTCTATGAACACTTACTGCAGTCAAATTAATTCTGTTGGTTAATTTAGCATTAATCATTTTGTTGTGGATTCACGTCCAGGGTATTGTCTTTGTATACGACATCACAGACGAGCAGTCCTTTCGGCACATAGAGAAGTGGGCCGGTGACGTGGATCAGGTAAGGCGTTAAATCTCTCTTATTTCACTCCAATGCATTTTCTGCCCTTCACAGTGACCCAGTATTTGTATTGCAGCTTACTGACTCGTCTGCTTGCTGCACATCAGGTGCCTTAGTGTGAGCAACAAGATAATGAAGTCCCTTATCCCGCTGCTGTCTGTCTCATCTTGTTGTTGCTCTTTTCCTGCAGTATGCCCCAGGCAAAGTGCAGAAGATCTTGGTCGGAAATAAGTCTGACGAAGAGCTCGGGAGACGGGTGACACAGGAGAGAGGAAGCAAGGTTTGATGGCACCTCATTTTGTGCTTTATTAGGGTTTTTGTGGTCATTTTTACATTGAAGTTGTAGGACTTTGTACTAATACAAAAGCATCCAGCAGTTCTTTGATTTTTGCTTCCAGTGCTTCACTACACATTCGGTGATGTGAGGTGACCACATCTGCTGAGTTGTACCAATATGTATTTCAACAATAAATGGCTTGGCCGGTTTGTAACTACAGACAACCTCTATTGTTAAATTGGTGATAATACTAGTCACTCAACATTGTGTTCAAATGGAAGTAAATGATTTTTTTCCCCCCATTTAACTGGTTCAGCAAAAGCATCCAGTAGTTGCTAGTACATTGTTCTCTTAAATCCTGTTATGGGAGAAAACACATCAAAGATATGTCAGAGCTTTGGTGGTCTAACCATATTCATATTCTGAACCTTGCAGCTGGCAGAGACCTATGAGATGGAGTTCTTTGAAACCAGTGCTTCTACCAGCAGCAACATCAGTGAGGTAGGACATGGGGTGCAGCTCTCTGTCAGCTGAGAAACATTTACACTTTTTTCCAAGAACTCCCTGCAGCATTTATAAGTATTTGTCTCTGAATGTTTATTCTTCTCCCTTCAGTCATTTACTCATGTGACTGCGCTGGTGCTGCAGGCTCACAAGAGAGACGTGGACAATTTGCTAGGATGTCTGGATGATTACCTAGAAAAGGTTGCTCTGGAGGACGAGAAGGGGAGTCAGGGCCCTGACAACAACACTCGGAGGGGGTGCGCCTGCTAGAAAGAAGTGCCATGACTGATAACTTAAGATATTTGTTCAAAGATTGGTTTCGGAAGTCTATGATGTTGCAGATGCAGTTGGCTGCAGATACCAGCAGAGGGCCATAGTTGCTGCATGATCACTACGGGCTGTAGCCAGTGAAGCAGTCCTGAAAAATGTGCTCTCTTTATTTTCCTTAGTGAAATACAGTTTTGCACTAAACATCTTTCCTCAGTTGACTGTTTCACATTATTTTTGTTTTCTTGTTGCTTTTTACATCAGAAATCGGTTTAGTTTGAGAAGAGTATGATCGCTACAAAAAAGTAGCCACAGAAGAGGGTTGAATTATTTATAATTTGAAACTCACACCAAGCAGGGATGGATTCATTTACACAATGGACTTATTTCCTTAAGGAAGACTGTGTTGTGCCATGTTCAATGACTTTATGAATGCAATATATGTGCTTTTACCGTCCTGAATGTAGATGTGTTTGTTTTATGAATACGATTGGCGTTGCATGCTGTGTGTTGTGCATGTAAGCAGTGCTGTTGCTTAAGATATGTTGATGAGATGCCACAGAAATGAATTTTAATGCAATATTTAAAGCTCAAGAATGATGTAAAAATGTCTACATTGTTTTGGTGGTAGATAAACTGAAATTTCATCTTTAAATCAGGCTGCATAGGTGTCGGAGCCTTGCTGAGCCACAGTTTGGACTGAGTGAAGTGAGGGCTGTCGGCAGGTCAGACAGTAGGGTCATTCATTTTTCATCACATGCTGTGAAACCAGGAGCTCACGTGTTAAATCTTTGATGACTGAGAAAACTGATGCATGACAGAGATACCATAAAGCTGAATACATACATGCTGTTTTACCCACTCAACACTTAGATTTGAGTACATGCAGTTACAGTTTAAGTGCTCATGGTAGTTAGAATAATTTGAAAGAATTCTATTAGTGCATTACATCTGAGTTCAACACTTAATTTATTCATAATGGTTTATCACAGTTCTTAATGTAAATAATATAAAAACCACTTAATGTACTTGTGTGGTTTGACAGTCAGTTGCATCATTTTATCAGGAACCTGTAGAGTATTGTGTGTCACAGGCAGATCAGTTTCCCGTAGAGCCATTTGACACCCACACAAGGCAGCTTCCTGCCTCAGGTGCATCAGGTGACCAAGCAGCTGGATATTGTCACATGTTGACAGCCTGTGTGCCTCCACTGTGGAAGCACAGGAGTTAAGATGACCTTCATCGCCAAGACCTTCTACGACTTGAAAGCCACCACGCTGGAGGGAGACTCGGTGGACTTTAACGTGTTTAGGGGACGGGTGGTCCTCATAGAGAATGTGGCCTCGCTCTGAGGCACCACCACCGGGGCCTACAGCGAACTCAACCAGCTTCAGAGCAAGTACCCCCATCGGCTGGTGGTCCTGGGTTTTCCCTGTAACCAGTTTGGATATCAGGTCAGTTAAATGTTGTGGGACCCTCGATGTGGATTTCAGATCTCATAAAATTATTTCTAATGCTGATGTTTTGTTATTCTTGTTAAACCTTGCTCCATCAGTTAAAGGTATCATATGATTAATGCTTTCTCTGGATGTAAAATACATTTTCCTAAATCCAAAGCGTTGTCTCTGAGTAGTTTGCATCTTGTGCCTGCTTTTCCTATTCCTTTTCCTTTTTGAATGTATTTCTCTATATTCATTAGAGATAAATTCTACCAGATATTCAAAACCAATTTAAGCAGTATCCTGAACATTGGTACATTAAGTTTCACTTTTGAAAACGAATATTTTCCCATGTTTGCTTTGCCCTCTGAGAATGATTCTCATTACATTCATTGTGCCTATTGTGTGCAAACTGCTGCTGGCACTTTAGCTTTTCATACTGCAGTTACCTTTATAGCTGGCAATCTTATGGATACTGGTTTGATTGCAATATCTGCTGAATTCCTGTTACTGTTTTGTAGGAGAACTGCTCCAACGGTGAGATCCTAAGTTCACTGCAGCATGTACGCCCAGGTGGTGGCTTTCAGCCCAACTTCACTGTCTTTGAGAAGTGTGACGTCAATGGAACAAACACACATCCAGTCTTTGCCTATCTGAAAAACAAGCTCCCTTATCCCGATGATGACCCTAGCTC